AATTGAACGTCTGGCTAGTCCTCGGCCGCAGAGCTAAGCTTTACAATTTGAACATTAGATTACATTTTATTAGAATCAGTTAGTATGCATAAATATGAATAAAAGGTGACTGTATTTACAAGGTTAACTTTTGCTCTTGGTGATTCTGTTTTATACTTTGATTTATATTTGTTTTCCTGTAAATGTATGTATTTATGATTATGTTACCATTAATTTTTTAAAAGAGTAATTTGGAATGAAGATCTTTATAGCCAGGCAAACAGTGTAAGTCACAAGAACAACCAGATACTGTATTGGAAAACTCTTTTAATCTGTAAAATAGTTTGACAGGCACCATTGTTCCTAGCATAACCCTGGCTTTAGTTCAGATGAAGGATGTGCACAACAAAGGATCTGAGCACACAAACTTGGGGAGCAGTAACTCAGAAGTGACTGTCACTGCTCAAGTGAGGTGAGGGTAGAAGCCTCCACGCGGGAGCAGCTGGAGCCTTGCTCCTGCAAGCGCACACGTAGTGTGAAAATCCAGGTGGTGCCTCCGGGCTGGACGTGTGTGTTTGTAGGACTGGCTCCGAGCCCCTGCCCTCTGGTAGGTGTTCACAATTTGTTTAAATGATTTGTCACTTCTCCTGTTGACTCTTCTGCTTCCTCAACTCCTACCTTTCCAGTTCCCCCAGCCACCATACTGAGTCTGACAGCTGTAATTACTTAAACTACCACTTTGGGATAAATGTCCTTTTGAAAGGGAAGTCAACTCAAAATGAAAACAGAGTAGCATCTGAATTTATGGGATAAACAGAAACTAGTATTAATTTTTACATGTACTAGATGTTGATGGGTGAAAGCAATGGAAAAACTGTTAGGGGGGAACTCATGACAGCTGGGGCTACACTTTTTGACCCATTGTTTTATGCTTAGTGGCTGGTGGTATGCTGTGAAGCTCTATTAATACAGGTTTTTTTTCTTCTGTCACTGGGGGCAGGTTCTTCAATGCACATGGATCAGCCTTGCTGCCAAGCTCTCTATGACTTTGAGCCAGAAAATGAAGGCGAGCTTGGGTTTAAGGAAGGGGACATCATAACTTTGACCAATCAGATTGATGAGAATTGGTATGAGGGGATGTTAAATGGAGAGTCTGGCTTCTTCCCCATTAATTATGTTGAAGTGATGGTTCCCTTGCCTCAGTGATCATGTCATTCAAGCTGTGAATGTGATTTCATGACTGAAATGGATTCACAAATGTTCTGTCAGTGTGGCATTCTGTGAAAGCCTTGCTATTTGACTGACTTACTGACTTTTGTATGCGTCTTTTTAAAATGTATTTATTTTATATTCAAAAAAATTTCACCTTCCCTGACTCATCAACCTGCAAAAAAACCCATACCCAGTTTTTTTGCTTTGTGCCTTGAAGATCACTGTATGAAGTGTTTACTGGTAGCTCACACTTGCTCCAAAAATGCATTTCCTTGCTATTAGGGTACATGTTGTGGTTTTTTTAATCTTTGGCTGAAATGATTTTACTATGGAAAACCATTTTTAAAAATACTGTAAGTGAAGCTAACTGTAACCAGTTCCTAAATGACATCAGTAATTAAGCTCTTTTCATTGATCACACTGTAATTTATTGTGAGTTAATCCACATTTCACACTGTATGTTGACAAAAAGCAAAGTGGTTGTTGTCAATATTATGATGTTGTTGTACTAAGTACAAGCTCTCAGCATTGAGAATTCCTATAACTTACTGACCAAACCGAATAAATATTTCTGTGGGATAAGACCAATGGTTGCTGCTTCTACTCCTATAGTTCTGGCATTTGTTTTTGAGCTGGAGGTCACCTTTGCTTACAGGTTTAAGTAAAGAAAATGCTACATTAAAAATGCACCAATAAAACCAAAGTATTAGTTTTATTACCTCCTCTTAATAATCTTGCTGTCTTCCTACTGATTGTGTAGCATTTATAATGTCTGCTAAAGTTTTCCTTCTAGCAGGAAGAGAAAAATTCCTTTTAACTAAGTGGTCCTTGCTCCACAGGGTTTGTATGGAAGTCCATTGAGATAAATAGGTGAGTATCACTGGTGACTACTGCCAAGAAATGAAAAGCCATTACACTCCTACTTTTTATATTTGAAAGGGAGAGAGAAGGAAGAGAAAGAGGAGACGAGGTGGAGAGGGAAAGACATGCTGTAACTAACAGTATGAAAAAAAATTCCTTAAAATGAAGGACAGACTCAGGCATCTTAAGTACTATCAAAATGAAGACTGAATTAATTTGCTTTTGTTAGCCTTCTGCTTTGCTTAGTAAATGCAGATGTAGCAATGACCAAAAAAATTCACTAGCCCCTGAGGAACATGGAAAAGGAACAGAGGATGAAAAGAGCACTGAATTCTTTATGGGCAAATGGGCTTGAGTCCTGCTTCAGAGTTTCAGAGTTCTGCAGTCCAGCTGAAACGATTCTCTAGAGAAGAAAGAATTTCTGTGTATCACAGGTACAGTACCTTTTCCCTCTAAAAATCATAAATAGCCCCTGACTGACAATCACAGCACAGCTGTCTGATTTCTCCCAGCTCTAGCCTGGGCTTGCACAATGGTCACAAGAGAAGTAGAGCATTATTCTTTGCAGCTTGGGCTACAGCCTGCTACTTAAGGCACATCAGCTCAGAATTTAACTGTATTAAAAAAAAAAAAAAGCCCTTTTCCAAGTACCTACCTAGTAGTTATTAGAGCAGCAATATGGAAAGTAACCCTCTCCTGACCTAGTTTTTAAATGTAATTCAAACTTCAGAATGTAATTCTGAATATTGATGCAAGGGATGACTTGCAAGGGTTTAAGTAATCAGAATGCATGGCTGCTTTTGCTTTTTCCCCCATCCTGTATCAGTCTCACCAATCCATAGCAGGCTAGAAAAGACACATTGAAATATTTTGACTCACCAGAACTCCTGAGAGGAAGAAATTGCATATGTACACACATAATAAATGTTTGAATTCTCCATACACTTTGCAGTAGGCAGCTTGCCCTTGGTCAGCTGCAATCAAGGTCTCATCTAACAGAAGTAGCTATTGCAAAAGTAGGAGGCAGAAAGCAAGTCAAGAACACTATACTTGTTGACTGGAATAAAGTAGAGAGAGAGGTCACAGCAAAGCAACCACTTCAGGGTTGCTACAAAGACTGTTTGCACAATAGGATCCATGCACATCAGAACCGATTCTTTAATACACATCCTTTAAGACTGTATAATAACCACCATTTTTTTCAGCTGTTATGGAGGTTGTATAGTGGAGTAAAGATAAGTAGATCTTGTTTCCTGGACCACTGCTGGTTTTACTAAACATCCTGGACCACTCCTATTTCCTGTCAAGGCTTGCACACTTGTGCATCATCCTTCCCTTGTGCCATGGAAAGGTTTAATTTGAAATACTGAAGATACCTCTTGAAATCAAGTTCATAGTTTAGCAAATAAAAATAAATAGATAATACTATCTTTATAAACAGGGCAGCACAGTATTTCTGAAAGGTTTCTTTGGTCTGCAGGGAATCTTCCCTAAAGGCACCAGGTTTATTGCTTCAAAGTCTTTTGAACCACTCAAGATCCATGAACAGAGAACTTTATTATTTAACTTAGAAATAAAGTCCAAGACTGCTTTTATATGCATGAAAAATATCTTTATTAGTTAAAAAAGTTTTAGAAATCAAGATAAATAGAGCAGGGTTATAGTAGCAGCTATTTCTATGTGAGCCATAAGGTACAACAAGAACTCAGATCTGCTGAAACACAAGTATTAAACCAGCATCTACCGCTGATGTCTCAAAAATATCAAATAAATAATTTGAGAGTTCAAGGACAGCCTCACCTTAACCACTGCATCCTAACACAGAACAGGTCTTTAATTTAAATCTGAATACTTTGGCAAGGTAAGAGGCAGTCAAAAAAAAGCCTATTCCAGCATCTGGAGAAACTGCAATGTCAGCTGCTCCCCTCATGCTCTTAAAAAGAAGTGTTCTTCATGTGGCTCATCAAGGCCCTTTCTTCACCATAGAGCCAGCAGGTAAGCATTTCAGTAGAAAGTAGTTAAGAATAATTGAATGTAGTGTCCCCAGAGGCTGACTGCCTGGTTTGAAGGGTATAGGTCAGGCTTTACATGGACTACGGAGCTATGAAAGTTACAGTAAAGTACATACTGGCCAATAGGCAATATTCCCCCTGCCTGCCCAACAGACATACACAAGCAGTACTGCAGACTGCACAGATTCAGTACAGGAGGACTTGAAGAGCAGGTATTTTCAATGCACCTTTTTACTACAGAGTTGGTAGGTTTTGTTTCAGCATTTTTTTTTCTAGCCCCTTAGAAAGTGCTAATATTGCTACAGTACCTTCTCTGTTGGAATGAGATGCTTTTTCACATTTACAGGATACATCTGTCCAAGTTAAGGTTGATACACTGTGTCTAAGAATATACAATATTGAAACTGGTTGATTTCCAGGTGCTAGAAAACAGAAACAGTACATTTAAATAACAGACAATATTTTTACAACTAACTTTCAAAGTGTTTTACTCTAGGAAGTTCTCTAGCAAGTGATCTAGACCAGTTTCATGTATTTCAGCATGAGGATCTTGAGCAGGAAACATTTCACTCAGCAATCTTCAGGATAGTGTTTTACCTCAGCCAAGCTCAGACTTGTTCAAGGTGCAAGCTGGGGTGTGATGTGGCCCAGTTTCCCACTCAGGCTTAAAACAGGGATTACCTTTGGAGAAACACCATATCCAAATACTGAGAAAGCTGAAGCAGCCTCACACTTATTGCCAAGTACTTTGCATCCTTCTAGGGCACACATTTAGGAGCTTTGTAAACTGTGCACCCTCCTCTGTTTCAGCAGGTCATAGAAACCAGATCCTTGTGTTAAAGTGAAGGTAGCTTCACATGGAGCTTGTATTCTACTGCTCTTTGTACCAGTGAATCCAGGGACAGGGTCCAGTATCAGAAAGTAGGAAATTTCATCATGTTATAGCCAGCATTGTTGGGGTTTTTTATATAAAGAGGTCAGATAGGAGATGCAAATTCCAAGTTTCAGATATTGCAGAAGATACCAAAACAGACACAGTTTCTTCAGAAGTGTTTTCACATGACCATCATCTTGTCCACATTACATTATAGAACAGCTAGAATCCTCACTTCGCTGCAGAAATAAGATGTGAAGACATTAGGCTAATTAGTATGTGTACAAACTTAGTATTTATTGCTGGTTACCTAACTGATCCTCATATAGGTATGTGATGGTTTTAGTGGTTTATTATTGACTAAATTCACAAAGCAAAGCAGGTTTTCAAGAGAGGCAGTACCCTAACTATACTAGATGGTTTGGGGGTGTGGAAAAGAGGACAAGCTCTTCAGAGTTTGAGCCCATGCAATACATGAGGAGCCTACACCCTAACGAGAGCCTATCAGACTATATCAGTACCCCCATTCTGAAACATCAAAACTTAACAGGCATGCAGACTCATGCTACCCTAGTTAGGATGGTAAAAGCAAAAGCCATGGAAACCCTGCCTTCCTTTAAAGCACAGCATGCTTCCTTTGCATCACTTTACCACATGCAAGAAGTCAACTTTTTTACTAAGTTGCCATTATTTCCAAATTATCAGTGCAGCAGAAGCACATAGGTACTAATGACACAAGTTTGATAGGAATTCAGACAGGGATGACATTAACATTTGAATGATAGTATTAGAACTGATTCTTACCATAAGTGTCACAAAACTATTAAAAAATTGCTGGTAAAACAGATCAGAGGTATAAGGAAAAAAGTTATTTTTGCTTTTCATCATTGATTGCCAAACAAGTCATTATTAGTCAAATAAAATAAAGAGCCTTCAAAAGACACCAGTAAAACTTTGAGGAGAGGCCCTACCCTGAACTCAAAGCTTGTATCAGTAAGTCTCCTCATAAGCCTAAATCTTCCACTCGTGTTACTTCAATGATTTTGGTGGATGTTGTGCACTAAGAGCCCAAAGGCCAGAATAGCATTATAAAACTTTTCTCAATACTGTATTTAATGGGGTCTCACCCTCCTTCAGCAAGAGACTGAGAAACATCCTTTAAGCCAGATGGCACTGTACTAATAAATATCAACCCAGATTTTCTGTTAGAAAAAAGGACAAGGAACAGAACCAAGCAATGACTTTATAGCTAGGCATCCCCTTGCACTTAGAGCCCTGGAGTTTGTACTAGCAAAAGGGACTCAGTGCTACTAAGAAACAAGTCAAAAGAGTCAAGTACAGTCCCTAATTGTTCAGTTATAACTGATTTCAAGCCCTTGAAAGTCCTGTTAAAGATACCTGACTAATAAAGCAAAGTACACTAGGAACAGCCAATACGCAGAAGTTCAGACTTAACATAGTCAAAAGCCATTTGGAGGGGCTCGAGTGTCTTTCACAGGGCATTACAACATGCCAGTTGTGGCCCAAGGGTCATAAGTATATTGGGCACAAAATAGGCTTATTCCATTTAACTACGTCAATTCCATTAGCATGACCTGCATCTCTGCTGAAGTTCCACTTGGAAAGTATTCAAGAAAGAATTTAAAACTGAAGCAAGGCTGAGATATTTATCTCACACAGCAAAGAAGAAAAAGTAGTTCCTTGAAATGAGCTGTAACAGAAGTGCCTCTGTTTTGTGCTTGAATTTAAGAGGGACTTAGGCAATCAATACACTAGGAACTTTGATTTCAGCCTTTTAATACTTTTGAATGGAAATACTAGGTTTCTTCACTGTGAATTTAAGTTAAGAGCAAGTCAGAGACACTAGTGTGTCAGGTAAGTAAAGATATTTCTGGTTAGTGTTTGCATTCTGATCTTTTAATTTTATTCATACTCAGACGTGCAGATGGAACAGACACTGAAGCTCATGGTTTTTAGTGTGTCAGTGGTAAGAGACCAAACAGTTAATGCTACTATTTGATCATACTCAACTAGAGAATGAACAAAACATTAATTCCACTTCTGATGCAAAGCCATGCAAGCTACATCCTACATGGGACAAGAGACTGCAGCACTATGAATGAAGCAAGTTTTCTATGAGATGACAAGCGTGATTCTCACGATCTCACCTGCTTAAGGATGCTCACAGGAACCACTATCATGAAACCAAACAACATTTCTTTTTTCTTCTTCTTTTGGTCTGACATCAAGAAAAATGTTAAAGAGTTGTAGAAGATGGATAGAGGAAGTATTTTCAGAGTTACGAAAAATGGCCATTGGATAGCATGGATTTAAACTGCAAGCAGCTTACCTGGGATGAAAGCTCCATTTCACTTCCAGTTATTTCCTCATCTTGTTCACTGCTTTCTTCTCTGGGTATATGCATTATCTTCCTCTCTGCGAGCTCCTAGAGTACAATTGAATTGCCATCAAGAACCCTCAAGAATTAAGCACATCAAACAAGTTGAGTATTAGGACAGTAAGGTTTATTTACCGTCTCACTTACCTCACCATCATTTGTGATGAGTGTAACACCAATACTATCCCCAGCTCCCCAAGACTTCTGAGACTTCCAGACCAGATCAGTAGGACCTGGGCTTACACCAGCAGCTGCACCCCAGATCTGCAACAGATTCACAGTGAGCTTCTGAATAATCTTACTTGTAGCTATATATGTTAGACTGAATCCTAATCTAACTATTAAATACTTCAGTACTAAAGATGTCTAGTAACAAGCAGAACTGCGATCCCTGGCAGGTTAGTTCTTCTCAGGACTACCAGTAACGGTGGTTTTTGTGGTTTGTTTGGTTTGGGGTTTTTGTTTGTTTTTAACTGAATACTGTAAAACATTAAGTGCAGAAAAGGCTGTTACCAGCTTCTAGCTGATGTAGAGGTAGCTTTGCTTGGACACATACCGCTTGAGTCAGAGCCAAGCCACAGTTAGAGGCGTACTCGTGGCAGCCATTTGTGGATACAAGATAGCCTCTAGCCCAGGGTCATTCACAGATCTCTTGAGCAAGCTGGTACAGAGTTTGGAGTACTGAGTGTAGAGTTAGGCTCTTTGACCACTATCTAAACATACTTAAGAGTGTGATTTTAAAGCTACTATTTAGTTTAGTGCCATGAGCTCAGCTGAACTGTAGTGGACTAAAACTTTTAGCAACAATGTAAGTCTTTACACAACTTATGAAATCACCAGAGTATGGGCAACCCTAAGAATAAACTAGAATATATTGAGTCTGTTCACAATAACAGCACATCCCAGTCTGGGATGATCCAAGTTCAATCCAAGATCTAGCTGTAAGGAAAATTTCACTGGCATTTCAAATCAAGGATTTTTCCCATCTCCCTCCCCACATAAACCTGAAGGATTTTATTTCCTTAAGCACTTGCAGTATCAATCTGGTTTTCCTTATTACATGAATCTCAGAACAGAGCTCCATATTTTACAAAACCACTACCTACTGTAACTACTTGGCCCGCCTGAAGAGTGAACTGTGATGGGAATTTGTATGTTACATCTGACACATTTCCAAGATGTCGTCTTAACACCCATCCATGTAGTGGTTGATCCTGCGAGATAAGAAATTTCTCTCAGTATTACAGACCAACACCATACCATACAAGTGCAAAGTTCTTTCCAGACTCAAGGGTCAGTTTTAGTCCCACTCCTGCAGCACACAAGAATCTGATCAATTCAAAGGAAGCCTTCAAGTTTCCATTAAAGCCACCCTATGATTTCTCCCTGTACTTCTTTAGGATTACTCTTAGTCCCACAAGTTTAGGCACACCTATTCTTGCCTTCTGTTGAAGGGGGATCATGATGCTCTTTAGCAGGGAGATGCTGATAAATGAAGTTTGTCATGCCCACCTCCCAGCTTGGGCCATGTAGACAACACATACATAGCAGCATGTGAAGATTTAAGGCATCTCAGGCTGATGTGTCTAAGCTACCAGCCACAAGTTTTGACGCTCAGGATTAATTCTAATAATTCTGGATTTGCAGACTAAAATAGGCAAAGAATTATCATCTAATGGGTCAGATAAACCCTCTGCATGGATTACACAGCCAGGTCTATTCAACCTTTTAGCTGTTTTAAACATTTTCAAGTAATAAAAAGCTCTCATTATCCAATTTACCAAGCACCTTTAGTTCACTGAGGATAAGTAGTACTTCTTGATGGCACTAGCCTCAATCTGATGAGTAACAGCAGAAGGCATTAAAATTTCTGCACCACAGTAACCCCAGTGCACCTCCCAGATAGCCCTGTGAACAACACCTTGCAGTACTAAGAAAAAAATCAGTCTCTATAGTCTTCTCTTGACAGCAGCCAGCTTAGCTGAGAAGTCCCCACTCAGGTTTTTTTTGGCAGTGCTCTTCCCTCATGTCTTCATCCTTCCCCACTGCCATCTCTCACTAAGCTACTAGTTGCTTTACAAGTAGTCATACATCACAGTGAAGGTCACGCAGACTTGAATGAACAAAAGTACCTCATCAGAGGTGTTTTTAAGCTTCACAAATTTCCCGTCTGCATCGATTTCTTCAATAGATACATTTCCAGAAGATGAAGCATGCTGAACAATCTTAAACCCAGCACTATGCCTTCTCTTTTTAGCCTCTTTCATTTTCCTTTTCTTCCCATGCAGGAACCATCGCCTTTGACTTGTTGCTTGAGTTCCAATGCTGTGTGAAGACGAACTGGGTGACAGGTTTAGCCTAGAAGGGAGTTGGATAACATTCACTTGACTATCCAGTATACTTATTGCTTCTCAGTCCTATCCTCCCACTATAGCCAAGCCTAAGAGATTCTTATATCCAAGCTTCCCCTAAAGTATTCAATATAAGATTTTATTTTTAATGGCAAGTGTAGTTAAATAGCTTGTTGAGTTTGGAATACAGCTCCAGCCCTAGAGTTCAGAGCAAGCTTATGTTGATAAAGGAAAGATTCCTAATTGCAGTAAGTATTCCTTTAAATTCTCTACAGACACAATCTTTAGTGGAAGCAGTTTAAAGTCTGACCCTTCCTAGCATGTATTGAGAGCTCATGTTCTCACCAGACAGTGTCTGGATAGTTGGGAGTTGATACATTTTCCCAGTTTCACGCACAAAACTTGAGCACTGTCTTTGGTATCTCTCTAGGACATAGCACAAAGCTTTGGAGAAAGTTGAGGGATGTCTAATGGACATTTGAACACTATCAGCTGGGTTTATCAAATTACTTCATCTTACTACACCATATGTATTTACATCCTACATCTACCAATCTACAGACAATTATGCTTCAAGAAATGTTATGGAACTAATGACATACTAGGTATTTATTTCTTGCCTCCTCCACATTCTGAAGAGCATACAGTTAGTAAGTGTAGAGATCTCGGGAGAAGCATCTCCATATGAAGATATCATCATAGCCTACCTCTGTTCCTCTCCTTCCAGCATCTTTCTGTAGGCATTTATTTCCAGATCTAGAGCCAGTTTCACATCCAAGAGATGTTCATATTCTTCCAACTGTGCTTGTGCCTGCTGCTGGGCTTCTACCATTTCTTTCTCTTTTTCAGCAATACACCTTTGATGGAGATCACGATCATAATCCAGCATCTCCTGTAGCTCCCTTGCTCTGTTCTCCAAAGCAGCATTCTAAAATTAAGGGGATAGACAAATCACTTAAACCATAACTGAAAATTAGAGAGGAGGGGCCAATATTTTGAATTGGGTATCTACATTAAAATAACTCTTAGGTTACACAAATAAAGATAGTACCTGGCTGTGATAATGATTAACTTGAGATGACAGAGCATCGATTCTCATCTTTGTTTCGATCAGCTGCTCCCGAGCAGCATTGGCAAAGTCACTACTTCTTGCTGCAGATAGCTGGGCATTCTCCACCTATGGATAAGTCACTCATTACCGAGTTGCTTATGAACATGTACTTTAAATAAGGAAAACCAAGAGATTTCCAGCTGTTACATCTGGAAGCAGTTATGTTTTACTTAAGTGTGCAGATACCAATAAAGTCCACAAAGTTTTTCATTGCTTTTCAGGGAGGTTTACAGAAGTTTGACATGCATGTCAAAAAGTCAGCAATAATCAAGTAGTGAAAATGGCTGGATTAGGATATTTCAGTTACAGATGCATAAAGACTTTGTATAAATGTTAAATAAATTGATTCTCCAGAACAATGGAGAATACATTTAATATCTGCTTGTCAAAGCATGGGGCTACAGGACATTAGGTGTGCATGTCAATCTATTGCTCCTCCCCAAAAGTTCTGTTACTAAACAGTTCCTGCATCACTGTAAGCAGCACTGAGCTATTTCTAGAGCAATTTAATCCTGAGATGTTTAAAGGAAGGATAAGGTAAAGCTATGCTCCTACAAGAGGAGAACTTCCAATGGAAACCGGGACAGAAGCATCCAAAGGAACTCACTGAGTTGGCATGCGAGTAGGAGTATAGAGCAAGTCAGAAGAACCAGGAAGAAATGAACACAGGTACTTCTTGAGAGAAGTAGCAAATCACATGATTCTGCACCAAGTATTAAAGAAGGCTTAAGATACCAATGCTGTACACTGCAACCAACCCATACACCCCTGGGATCTTGCCTATCAAGAAGATAATCCTAAAGTACTACTTTTTCCTGTGTATGTGGCTAGTGCTGGGAAGGAGGTGACCAGACCAGTTCTGGAAGAGTAACTGTTGAGCTACTTCCAAAAGCCACCCTCTCCCCCCCTTATCCACCACTAGCAACTGGGAAGGGACATTTGCACTCATACATCTAAAAGTGCTCTTGTAGAACTAGTACCTTATTTCATGCATTTTAGTAAAACTATATTCAGTAGATCAAGTTGTTATTCAAGAATACTGAAATTACTTAATACAAACATAGCACACCTTGGTCCTGAATTTGTCAGACAAGCTCTCAGATTTGTCAGAAGTCTGAATTATGATCAACTTCATTAAATTAGCCCTTCCACATAACTCCTTAAAGTGACAGTATTTGTGCTTGACCCAGTTTTGTTTGGGACCAAGCATTCATAGAAGTTGTCAAATTTGACACTGCTTTGAAATTCCATAACAACTTTTGCCAAGAAGCTCTGCACTGAATGCAAGGGCTCCATCAGTCAGCTATTTCTGCTGGTGTGACTTTAATCCTATCAAGGTGCAGAGAACTTAATCTTTGTTTTATTGGCATCTTTTATTGACTCACTTTTGCACTGAATGTTCGCTCCAGCTCCTCTTTGTAGCCTTGAATTTCTTCTTCCTGTTGTTTTCTGAGCTCCTGAAGAACATTCAAGAGCTTACTCTCAAGTTCCCTCTGACAGTCCGATTCCATTTCTGCTATCCTGCTCTCATGGACTCTTTTTGTCTCCTTAAGCTCCTAGGAGAAGAAATTTCTGAGAATAAGCAAGCTAATACAGTTTGATTTGAGACTGGACTTACTGTATCAGCTTAACAAGTCATTCAATATCAGAACAGATTTATCACTGTACAGTAAATCAACTTTGTTCAGATCTTAGATATTCATCCATTAGGTTGGATACTTCTACCTTGCTAGCTGTGCTGGGTTGTTTTGCTATCTCACTGCCAACATTGCTTAAACTAATAAATGAAGCAGTTTGTATTCAACTAAATCTAAATTTTTGAACTAGATTGATTTCTCTGGTTCTCTTTAGTTAGAACACATGCATATACACTTCAGTCTGTCAGCACTGTGACTTCACCTATTCTTGCTTTATTCAAAGTAATAGCAGTTGGTTAGAGAAACTGGAATTCTCTATCACTTAAACCACAGACTTTGAGATTCCTTCCAGTCAGAAGGAAGTTAGTTAATATTCACATGGGTTTTAGTGCTATGTACTGATTTCTCACACAAAGGTTACCAGACACCTTTGATAAGTGTTAAGGAAGTAGGGAACATAAGTTGCTTATTAAAGAAGATTTAACTTCTTCAATTTTAGGCTTCTAGCAAACATCTGGAATCATTTAACTTCAATATATGCACTTTCAGTTACACAAAGTAGTATATCGGGATTGTAGTTACCTTCAGAAGTGCAGTGTGAGAAAATTATCTCATATTCCAGATACCTATTGGTACTATGCCAGTTAACATGAGGTTGTGTACTTTCTTGAAGTCTTCCTAGTTAGGTGGATTTTATTGACTGGTGGAGTCATAGGTTGACTCAGCTAGTTACCTTTTTAAGGATAAAGCACATCTTAACATTGCTTTTAAGTGCATCCAGGGATCATGGACACCTAAAAAAATCCTTGTTAATAAGCTAAAACATACATCTTCGTGAAGGCGCTTCTGGAATGTCATTTGTTCCTGCAAAGTTTTCATATGATTTTCCAGGTCCACCCTCTTCAATGTTTCACTGTGGAGATGCTTTTTGGCATCCTCCAGTGACAGCTTCAGCTAGAAAAGAGAGACATTAGGATAATCAAAATTGAGAGGTTATTTTTACAAACTAAGACAGTCAACTTATCACAGGTCATTCAGCTTCACTCCATAGCAAAACACACTAAAGTTGGTTACTCTAAATTCTTACTTCAGTGGGATCCAGCATATTAGCAACAGAAAGAACCCTATCTGTTACATAGACCAGAGTTCCCACAAAGCCAACAGATCAGCCCTTAATCACACCAGCTAAACGTGGCTCCTCAAAGTAGACTTCAGATGAATCAACTGTACCATCCATGTACATTCCATCCCTTCACAACGCCAGGTAGGCCAAACTTCTCCATAACTTCTGATGTAATTTGTTTGATGCTTAACAAATTACATCCCCCAAATACAGCCTATGTTGACAAACTCTTGTACACTTCCACTGTTGGAGTCTGCTGCTTTAACAATTAAAAAAACAACAAAAAACCCTTGTAAATTTTCATCCCAAAGATTTGAAATTAGCTTGTTCAAGGATCACATTAAAGCATGAAGATACAAAAGCTATGCTCTTAGAAATGCATTGATAGAGTAGCAACTCAGTTATCTTTAGTAGCACAAGAGACTACAAAAAAAGTAGCCAGAACTTATTTATTCTACCTAGATTTAAGCATAGTGAAGCAGGGTCCATCAAATGCTTCCTTTGCTGACATGTTAGAGAACACTACAGGTGCTACAGCAGTACACATTTCCACTTGCTTTGCCCTTAGAACAATAAACATGACATACTGTGGTCATAATAGAATTAAAGTTACCCACAACAAGTGGAAGTTTTAACAGACCAACTATCAGGAGCATTTGCTTTCAGCAAGATTGTAGAAATCTTTCTGTCCACCTGCCATTGCCATAGATAACAGTCTTTCTCTGCTTAATAACTAGTTGGGGAAAAGCAAGCAAAAGCTTCAGGAACAAAAGCAAAGGTGAAACTCCAGAACAAGCCTTACAGTGACTATTCGATCCTTTAATTCACGAACATCATTCTCCAAGGTCCGGTTCTCATTCAAAGCTGTTGCCAAATCAGCTTCCTTCGCATTCAGCTGAGCATCAAGGTCTCTCATACGAGCTTGTGCCAGGTTTAAATCCGCTTCTTTTTTTGAATTCCTACAAGTTAAAGTTTTACACTCATAAGTTGCAGCCAGCAAGGGGGAAAGTTTGTTTTTTATATGTTTACCTTCACAGGGGTCTGTGGCAGAACTGAGAGAAAAGAGGTTAACACTTGCAGTGAGAGCACAGGGTGGGCTGTAAAACAAACCAGACAGGCCCTTCAGACAAGCATCATTTGTTTAACCAGAAAGATTTCTGACCCAGTTTCCAGCTCATTTTGTGTGAATCCTACGTGGAAGCCAGCTATTTTCCACAGCACTACCAGCCAGAGAGCCAAGGGATGGCACAGACCCCCGTCTCCACAGGGAGGGCCTAGTCACACTCAAAGCCAGAGTTCACCAGACCACGGTGACCTGCCACCACGGAACAGGCTGCTCACACAGACATCTCCCTTCAGCAAAGGCTGCCACCAGCTCCCTGGCAAGCTGCCTGCTGGCCACGAAAAGGCACCGCTGCCGTGGCCCCCGGGGCTCTGGCCCCGCACTCCTCGCCAGGCGGGAGCGGCCATGGAGGCCCCTCCACCACCGGGGAGGCCCCGCAGCGCCTCAGGGCGGCCAGGCTGGGGGGCAGCTGGGGGCGGCCTTCCCCAGGCAGGGGGTAGGCGGTGCGGGCCACACACCGGGGCAAAGCACACCCTCCCCTTCAGGCAGAGGCAGATCCCAGCTCTGGGTGGCCGGCAATACCATTCCTCATCAGCGCAGGAGTTCTGTCCCCAGGAGGGGGCCTCCAGCCAGGCCCTGGGGGCTGGTCAGCCCCACGTCCCCGCCGGGGCCTTGACTTCCCTACAGCCCCGCAGCTCCTGCCACAGGGCCCCCGCAGCAACCACCCTTCCCTCACAGCAGCCCTGCAAGGGACTCTTCTCCCTCAGGAAGGGTCACACGCTCCTCCCTCCTTCACACCGTGGCAGTTACAGGGTGCGAGAAGCTTTGCCTTCCGGAGAGCCGTTTCCTTGCACAAATACCCAGGTACAGAGCCCTCAGGTACCACCTGGACGGCCAGCACAGTTTAAGTCGCCAGTTTTACTTGACATCACAGAAGGTAAGTGCTGGGCCCACAGTGAGTTCCTGTCAGAGAAAAGGGCAATAATTTCCCAGAGCACTCTAACTTCTAAAATCCTTGCAGTTGCTTGACCACTATCCAGAGCCTGACTTCCTGATCAAAACTCCAATTTGAGATTGCAAGGAGTAAAGTGTCCAGTTTATTTTAGCAAAATCTGTTCTGCCAAGTGACAAAGTTGTGATAATTCATACAATGAGTTTTCCAGTTGATAACTGAGCAGACCAGTTGGAGAGAGTCCAAAGTCATTCTGCAGGAGTGATCAGCTCTAGAAAGCTTGGACTGCAAGGAAAGATTGGAAAAAAAATAAGGGTTGTTTAGTCTAGAGAAGACAAAAGTGACAGGAGACATAACAGTCTTTAAATACATGAAAGACTGCTGCATAGAGGAAGAGAATCTGTTTTCCATGCCACTTGTGGAAAAGATGGGAAGTTGCAGGGTTAAATTGCAGGGAGGAATATTTGGGTTAGATGTTAGGGAGAGGAAACTGGAACAGTAGTTCAACCTGAAGCAATATTCTGGAATCTCCATCATCTGGAATTTAAAGAAAGGGTTACAAAAATATCTGCTGGAAGGGATAGATATGGTTGGTTCCAACACAGGCCTGAGGCAGGTGGATACTCAGGTTCTTGCTCAAGGCCATCTCTAGCCCTGCTATGCAGAGACATTTGTTGATTGTGTCCTTGTGCTTCATGATCATGACACAACACCAAATGTTTTGCTAGAAGTTATTTACTCTCTCAGACTCTAGGAAAAAAATAACTCTACTGGGGTAACAATGATAAACAAGATAACATCTTGTAGGGGTTTTTAGCATTTGCAGGTTTCTTTTTCTAGGTATTAGTCACCTTCCTTCTGGGATCTGTTATCACCACCACTTATTGCAAGTATTAGTTATGATATTAACAAGCACATTAATAACACTACTTAATGATAATATTGACTGTTTCATTCTACAATAATATCAATTTCATTTGCAGTCAAAGTGTGCCTGACTGAAATTCCATTAGTATCATGTTTTAACTCTGTGGTTTGATGGCCCAGTTTCCTGATGCAGGCCTCTGACAGGAGGTTCAGGTTTCCTATATTCTTTCTTGACAAATATTATTTTCAGAGAACCCTGTAGTGAGTCACTTAATCTTTAAGAACAGTGATTTAACAAGTCTGGCTTTGATAAGAGCATTTACTACCATTTTAAACCAAGTCTGGGGTTCTGAATGCCATTTCACATTATTCTACAGCAAGCAGTGACAATTACAGTACTCTACAACATTCCATACAGCAACCATTCCAGAACTAGGCATGGCTTATTGACTATCAGTTGCAAGCAATAACTTTGAGGCACTGCCAATCACATTCCTTGTAAATCAGGGTGTCACACATGATTGACCTGGAACATTTAAATAATTTTACCAAAAGAGTTCAGGTATATTTGAAACAGACTCCAGTTTGTCAAGACTAGGGGACACGAACAGCACTTGCAGAACTCAATCGTTACAGCTTCAGCTTGCTACACTGCATATATGTCAGGTTCAGTAGCAAAATGCTCATTGGTGCAGCAAGAAACCGGTCTTGCCTTTTCCTGCTGTGCTACTGTAGCTGCTTTGACCTTCCTCAGGGTCCAAATAACTGATATGCTTATCCACAACTCCTCCTCCCCAAACATCTTTGGCCTACTTCCAGTTACCACTCTAAGTCATAAGAAAAAAAGCTGAAGTGCAAGCACACTTTGGAGTTGCTGAAGTTTTAAGTCTCTTCACCAGTGATTAATAAGAGTCAATGGTTAACGCTGTAGGGAAATTATCTGGTGACATTCCACCCTATAAGCGTTCCAGGTTATTTAAAGGGTGTATATATAAAGGGCACGATACCCTCAAAGTGGTTTGTTCCAAGTCATCCGAGACATCTGCAGTTAGGCAGCCCAGATGCAAAATACCCAGCTACAAAACACACAATATTAGGACTTCAGTCTAGTCCTTTCAGAAAGCAGCATGCACACCATGCATCATTTCCCACGGGCTGTAAAGTTAACCACTTCTAAGACCTAGTTACTTTAAAGTAAAAAACCCCAACAGTCCAGAGGATTGCATACTTGCCAAACCTAAAGCTTTATAAACAAAACCACAGTTATACAAACACAGAGAGCAGCAGAAAAGTTTTAGAACTGGCATTACCCCTCTCTTCACTGTCCACTCAAGTGGCTGGTTAGATTTATGAAATAGATCTATGAGCCAAAACCCAGCATGAATGAGACAAGCCCAAGAACTTCTAAGCAGCTGAAAACAGAAGCTTTTTAGAGTAAAAACATGTTTTATTCCCAAGTAGAACAGCTACTTAAATCCTACAGAGCCTATGAGGGAGCAATATTTGCTCCACACAAGTGTTAAAAAAAAAAAGTGGTGCCTAAAGTTGCTACGATACAAGTTTATAACAGGATTTAGTGGGCCTGTGGACACCCAAATTATTTCAAGTCTGTAATTGATTTAGCAGTACAATGGGGCATTAAAGTAACTAGTAATGCTAGTGCTCTGTGTATATCCACAGAGGAAGCTTGTTAGGATTGGATACTTGTTCCCTTCCCTCCACTACCCACCTTCTTCCCTCCTTCAAGGGGGTTTAATTGCACTTACACTAGGCCGCTCCTTTGTTTCAGGCTTGGCAAGACTAGACAACAAGGTAATTCCTGGCTCAGGATAGAAAGAAGCATGCAAGAAAAATCAAGCCTGGAACAGCAGGCAGTTCATCCCAGTAGCATGTAAATCAAGACCTAAAAGCCACTAGAACAGTTTCCGTGCAGTGCCAGCTTGACCCAGGTAAGCTATACTGCTTACAGGACTGCCCCCTCGGGGTACTCCCCTCTAGGCAGTCCCTGAGCTAATAAGCCCCCCAAAAGACGCGAGCTGACTCCATACAGAGACCCCTTCCCCCGTGCCCATAACCTAGATGCTCTGCAGCACAGCAGCTCCTTAAGGGCTTATCAACACAGCTGTGGCACCAAGCCCGGCCAGCTACGCACTCATCCAACACTATCCCCACCGGCCCCCCAACACCCAAGTCCTGGGGGAGCCCCACGGGCACCCCGGGGAGGTGCTGGAGGGGCCCCGCAGCAGCTGGCCCTCACCCTAGGGCACACCTTCCGCTCCCCCCAACCCCAGACACTCGAGCCTCGCAGGCCTCCACCTTTGGGGGGGGGGGAAGGGACGGACGGGGGGG